TATGGCATATTTAAAAACCAATAATAAGTAAAAATAATCACTTGCAATTAAAAATAAGCTACATTGGATAAATCACAAAAGTACAATGGTGGTGAAAATAATATAAGTCATAGGTTTAAGAAACTACATTTAATTTTTATTTAATAGAGAATTAAAATTTGTGATAATGATGTAGAATCTAAAAAGATTTATAATTGCACAAATAATATAAATATTGATGAAGATTTGTGTGGACAACAAAGTAAATTAATAGATTTAGCTTTGATGAAGAATTACTAGTTTTGCTATCCAAGCAAAGATAAGAGAAAGTGGCAAGCAAATGAATACAAATTAAGTATGTGTTAAGAAATGTAGATTTTTTTTAAAATGTATGAATATTTTTAGCTTTGAATATATGCCAATAATTATTTTAATTTATTTGTATATTGTAAAATTAATTAACTAAATTACATAATAGAAGATCTTTGGATGTCATTAGGTATATGTCAATAATCTTGTTAATTTTATTTTGACATAGTTTAAAGAATATATATAATAGATATTCCATATTCCTAGTTAACATCTTAAAAAAAATCTTCATTTATTTATTTATTTATTTTTATAAATCTCATATATATATATATATATTATGATTTTATTAGACTTCATATATTTCTTATTTTTTAAAAGTTTAATTGTTAGATTAATTATTACATAAAATAATCTTTATTTAGTCTTTTTCAAATAACTCTATTATAATTTTATTAAGAACTTATATTTTCTATTAAATAAAATAATTTTTTTTATAAGTCCTTAATAGTAAAAAAATTATGATAAATAAAAAGTAATGTATCTTTGTTTTATTAGAGAAGACATAATATTAAAGAGTAAAGATATGGATATAAGATAAAAATTAATCACAATAGCTATTGCCAAAGACTAAGAAGCTAAAGTTTCTTGGATCAAGATTAAAATACAATAAAGGCATCAATAAGTGTAATCATGGCCTCACTCTTATCTATTAGCTATCAAAAAATAGTCTTATAGAAGCCTTCTATGAACCATAAGATTTGTCATTCAAGTATAAAATTAAAAGTTGATTCAATTATAGCTTTTTAAAAGTAAAAAGCTTGTGGCACATTTTTTGATAGCTACATGGCATACTAGTAGGAATTTTATAATCTAAGTTGTATCTAAGAAACTTCTTCAATTTTTTTCAAAGAATATACTATCTATTTAATATGATTCTTTGTCATATTAATCTATCTATGGAATATATGTAATAGTTTTATTATAATTTTTTTAAAGATAAATGCCACAAAGAGTGATCCAAGTATTTTATAAACTAATGGAGTCCAAGATCCTTAAAATGATATTAATAAAAAGTTCTAATCTTTTTTTTTTATGTATGTGGTTGATTAGTTCTTTCAAGTATAATAATTTTAATTATTATATAATTAGATTTATTTATTTTTAGATAATAATTAGATATAATCTTTGATAATCCAACTTGCCACCTAATTGATTAGTCTTAATAATTCTATAGAATAACTACACATGGACACCCACTTTGAATAAAAGTTGTTACGTTTTGAAATAATTAGCAGTAATTATTTTTTCCTTTATTCTTCTTTTGTTGTATTTTTATTGTTGAATTAAGATCTTTTATTCTATTTTCTAAATATTATGTTTTTGAATTTTTAAGTTTTAAAAAATCAAAAGTATCCATGGATTATAACTAGAATTGATAAAAAATTGAGTGTTTTAAAGAAAAGAATATATTGTATTATTATTTAGTTTGTTTTGCTTATGACCAAAATATTTTTCATTTGTCTTGGTAATAGTTAATACTACATCATAAACATTGCTTCAAATTTTGATTCACATATATTATTATTAATAATACTATTATTTTGTCTATTACTTAACAATGAAAAAGCTAAAGATAATTTAATAGGAATCTTTAATATGTTAAAATATTTCTTCTAAAATCATGATATATAGTAAGGCCTTTGATCACATAAAACTTTACTTAGAAGTTTAAGATATGGATAAATAAACTTTACTTAGAAGTTTAAGATATGGATATATTAAATGCACCATTTTAATTAAACAATCCACCATCACAAAAAAATAGTCATAAGAAATTAAGATTAGAAAATCTGAAATAAATTCTATCATAATAAATAATCAAGGGTGTTTTAGAATAAATAGTAGTTAAAAAAGTTTTTAGGATTGATGATGTAGATTTATTGCTTAAGAAAAAGTATCACAAGTTTAAATGAATACTTTGATAACTTTGTATATTTGAAGCCACTAAAATCATTTAATATAATTTCTAAAATTTTGTCATATCTAACATGTCTTATTGTTAGAAAGTTGTATTGTGCTGAAAGTACATGTGATTATATTTGACCTTATAGAATATTTGGTAGTGTGTTATTAGCTATAGTTTAGTTGGAGATCAAATGTTGTGGTCACATTAGATACTATTTTGAGACTATTTTGAGGTACTTTTAAGAAGCCAGCTAAAAAGAGAGAATGCATTACATTAGTTGAGTTCATTGAAGAAATTGCAATATGGAAGATATGTCAAAACAATTCTAGATGGAGATCCAAATATAATACCTCATATGCCAAATAGCTATTGTGCAAGGACAAATAGAAGCATGTAGGCCAAGAGAGTCAACATCTGCTAGACTGAAATTATATAAGTCCAATACATACTCTAAGACTTTAAAGCAAGAAGACATATGCCAATTGCTCTTTAGCATGCAACAATACCTTCAACTATTTAAGACAAACACCATCAAAAGAATTATGTATGCCGCCAAGTATTTGAAGATTGTGGTAGCCATTTAGTGGTAACATCAAGTTTCAAAGAAATAGAGTTCAAAATGGATTTTGTGATTGAAAGGAGTTTGAGACCAAGTTCAGAAATCAATTTTGGCCTATTAATGCAAAAAAAATAGCAAGAAATTAGTTGGCTAATCTTATACAATGTAGATTAGTACAAAATTATATCTTTCAATTCAAGTCTTTATGTCTCCAAATTGGCAATGTTTTAGAGGTGGAAATGATAGATCAATTTTTACAAGGATTGAAACCTATGGTCTAGCAAAAGGTGGAATTAAGGGATCCACAAATATTTGACTCTAACTAAGATTGAAAAGAAGATCAATACTATAAATTTCAAAAATTATGGAGCACGATGAATAGCACAAAATTCTATGCCGCTATCTAATATTATGCTACAACAATTAACATTGATGGAGATTGATGCCTTATAAGGATTATTGTCACTACAAAAATAACAAATATTGGTGAAAAGGGATTATATTTCTATTGTCAAGAGCTAGGCCATCAGATTGGAGGTTATTTGAAACGTTAAAATTTAAGTACCGACAAATCAAGGAAGATTTATAATCTTGAGATTCATCAAGTCAGTAATGAAATGGAGCAGAGAAATGAGACTTTTTAATAAAGATACCAAAGGCTAAAATTAGTAATAATTACTATCATTCAAAAATAAATGATATGGCCTCAAAAAACTATCAAAAAGATTGATTAATATATCTGACACGTCAATTAAGAGAACAATCATATTGAATGCTTATGGATTGCGACTCCACAAAAAAATGCATTTCAATTGGAATTACCAACTAACTTGGAATTAAAACCAAGGTGATCAAAAGAAAGAGTATATATCTAATAGATGTTGAAGAGAACATATTGAATGAAACATGTGAAGAGAAAATCTGAAGGTTGAATGATAATTATATCTTAAGAGATGGAAGTTTAGGGTAACAAAGCTTAGACATGATGTTATTCTTAGTATGCTATGGCTAGAGGTGAAAAATAAGCAAGTTGATTAGCTAGCAAAGATAGTTTGTTTCAAAGATGGTAGATTCTTTGTACCTCCACATCAAGTAAGATAGAAAAGCAATTTGTGTCTAAAGGCTTACTTGTAGGGATGATTTTTATGAAAATGTAAATATAATATAAGCATCCATTATATATATATATATATATATATATATATATATATATCAAGAGAGCGAGAGAGAGAGAGAGAGAGAGAGAGAGATATTTTTCTTATATTTTTATCTTAGATCAAGATTCTTTAGGTTTTTTAGACTTGTCAATAGCAATTTCAATATGTTTATCAAATAAATATATTTTTTTTAGTTCTTTTTTCTTTTTCCAATTGTGTATAGATATACTTTCTTTTTACAATTCTATCTAGATTTGTGTCTATATCATTTAGTTTCATGATTAGGAATAAGTACTTCTATAATTCCTTTATAAATTTAAATTTTATATGGGAAGTATTTCTTGTTACACAATGGATCTAGAAGCATTCTTAGATCCAATTGTATTAATTAAGCTACCTAATTTGTTTTTTAGGATAAATTTATTTCAATTTCTTGAATTTTTCATACCTTTTAAATTAAATATTTGTAATATTTTCGATGTAATATTTTTATATTTAAAATGTTGGATTGTATATGATACACTAAGATTATATAACTAAAAGATATATTAATACAAATAAAAAGGAATAAATAAATGATCTTTAATATGGTACTACATTGAAATATGGTACTACATTCATATATTTTATTAAAAATATTTAAAATAAACTATTAAAATATTTTTTTTAAGTACAAAAATTTACTATAGCTATTAATATAATTCCAAGTCAAGCTTGAAGGAAGCGTTTTTCTTAAATATCTGAAGTGGTAATTTTTACGAGCATTAGTTCATGGCTTGAAGAAGATATTAAAAATACTTTTGTACTTGCATGTCATGGAATTAGATTGAAAAACCAACGTACTTGTGAGAAAGTTGTTAAGTTCCACTTCGATTCTATTGAAGACAATATTGGCGACTGGTATTAATGAATTCTGTTAGTGATGTATTCTGTTGAGCATGAATCCGTCCACACCGATGCGTTTCGTTCCTGCCCGCAGGGTCCGCCGCTCCGCAAGCGCGGAGCACCCTCATCGTCGTCGCGGGTGCCCTTCGTGGGTCGTTCAAACGGAGTTTGCTGCTACTGCTGAGCTCGGAGCCCCGGCGAGGTGATCGATGATCATGCGCCAGTAGAATCCCGCCGCTCTGGGTTGCGTAAGGTTTCGCTGCCATGGGGTTGTACCAGATCGTGGAAGCCTTCCTGTTGATGACCAATGCTGTCGCTATTCTCAACGAGGACCGCTTCCTGGCTCCATGTGGGTTTTGCCTTCGCTACCCTCCCGCCTCTTTGCTTATTCACCTTGGCTGCGTGACCTATATCTTTTGTTGTCATAATCTCTTTCCACATGAAGCCGTCTCGTCGCTGCGCGGTTGTCACTGCTGTGGGCTTCGTGAGCTCTAATTCCCATTGTGTCGTTTCAATTTGGCAGATGGCTTAGGTATGGCCGATATGGGAAATGGTAGGGTATCACCATTCAAGAGTCAGTTGATTGGGTTGATACACGCTGTGCAGTATTTACGAGGTGAGAAGCATAGATCTAGTCCTTCTCATTTCTTTTGTAACTCGGTATAGACTGTTTAGGGAATATTGCTTCAAGCTGTGACCATGTTCATTTTTGTGTCTTTTTCGTATGGTCGTTTGTTCGGTGCCTACATGGGGTTGATGCGCGGTATGCCGATCCTTCCGTGCTTTCACTCTATCGGCTGGACGCGCTTGGTCGTATCAGACCGTGGTCTGTAGGGTTCGTCTTTTTGACAGCTTGGGTGTGATGGGTGGTTTTGCAGTTCCGCTGATTGTTGCCAATAGTATTGTTATCGTGAGCAAGTTGCTCTTTGGATGATGCATGTCCTCGTTCGTGCGCTTCCGAGTGGAAGCCGCTGGTTGTCTTACATCGAGCGCTACAGTTAGTTGCCGCATGCAATATTGCGGCTCTGTCATCTCTGAGTGGAGCAGGAGCTTGTTTTGGCAGCTGCGATGAATTCTGGCACGAACATAATTGCAATGTACAGTGTACCATGTTAACGCACTAAATCGATCTCGTAGTCCGTGGCATCCTAGTTCATGTTTCTAGAACTTCACAATAGGAATATTAGGGTTTCGAAGAAGTCTGCAGAACTGGTTCGGATATTGGTTTGTATATTTGGGCATGTTAAGCCGCTCTTAAATCATTAACAGATGCTGTGCACGTTGAGCCTGTATCTTTTGAAATGTTTCGTGAAAAGAATGTAATGCCAGTAAAGTCGCCTCCGCATTCTTCATGCCAAGGTGCACAGCGGCCCCCTTTTCTTGCATTTTGTTTCTTAATAGATTACGCACGTATTTGGAGTACAAACTGAACGTTGTAGTTATTGAGTGGTGAGAATTGTTCCTCAGTATTGTACTCTGCACGCGATTATTCAGATCTTAGTGCAAATGCATGTTAAATCACACTGAAAGACTGTATTAGGACCCTCTCTATTTCGGGCTTGATGTCGCTGCCCATCCTAGGGTAGACGAGTAGACACCTTCGGTGCTTCACTGTAATCTTATTCCAAGTTGCGATTGGGTTCCTTTCTAATCAAGCTCAAATCCAGGCTTGGCCACCAGGCAGAGGTTTTCAAGCAGGCTGACAACGCTTAGTGCTCAGGCCTGTCAGTGGCGCCCTGACTGAACACTCGATGAAGATCTCGAGCAAGTTAACTATTGTCAAGGAGACTATTGTGTTCCCTGCGTTTAACGCTGGGCAAATTCAACGCCCTGCTACTAAAGGAGGAAGCCCGCAACAAGTGGTACTACTCAAATGGATCTACCCCAGGATTGGCAAGGATCTTGTTTGGATTTAATTTCACCCAGCTTTTGTACGATGTTGGGTCCTGGTGAAGTTAATCTGCAGTTAATAAGGCAACAGATTAAAACAAAGTCTTAGTATGCTTTTCTTAGATTGCAAGAATGATGAAGGCTTTGCAGCTCTGGCCATATGATCAGTTGTTAAGGTTCACGGCACCTCCCTTCTCCGAATCCTTCAGAGGAACTCTCTTACTTGTATTGAGAAGCTCCCTGTTGAATAATTAATTGCCATTAAATCACCATTACACGGTATCATTGCATTTTTGTGAATTGCATTTGCTTTTGAAATGCATATTGCAAGAATTGCCAAAAACAACCCTGTAACACGATTGCAACTTGAACATCTGAAGAATGAGTTAGCCTGCAATTGTTTTACGATGATGATGACTATTTAAGGACCGAAGCTCTTCTTTTTTTTTTATTTTATTTCTATTCTGAAATTGAATCGGTTTTCAGGCGCAAATAAAATGTAATGTACTATGCGTGCAAAATGTTTTAAAGCCAAAGCTCTTCTCACAAGGTATTGATGGTATGTACCATACAGTGCCTCTCAAGAGCAGAGATTAAACCTTAGAGGGGTCCACTTCTCCGGTAGTATGGAACCACTAAATTGTCTTCCGGTATCTGTTACTAGATCAAGGTCAAACCTCTCAATTCCAGACTGGTAATTGAAGTAAAACCTGGAATTTGGTGATAGAAGTTACAATTATCAACTGCACTGCAAGAGAAGGCCCGTCTGCTGAATTAGAAGTCTAGCGCAAGGTGCATAGAAATCCAGGAAGCCTAGGTGTATTTCATTGCAGAAAGTGAAAAGCTTAGATGGCCACCCAGGGCTACAATCCGATTTCGAGCTTGGAATATAAGTTGTTCACAAACTGGAAGATACAAGCAGGTGAGGTAGGGCTTCGAAAGATAAATGAGGAGATAATTTATGATAATTTATTTGTACTCAACTGATTTCTGTGCATCTTCAACATGCCACTTTCTTTCTTCCTTTAGCTGAGATGATCGTATAATTCTTTGAGGAACACTCAATCACGAGATAACGAAGCATGCACATCGCTTTTTCTCCAAAGAATCGTCCATGACGTGCAGACGTCCAAGATCCGAGGAATCCCTGGCAGTATTGCCATGCAAAACCGTCACTTCTGATCATCAGTCGTTTAGATACAGTACGTGGATCACATGCGAATGATTCCGTTTCTTTCATTTCAGCTGCAATAGCGTCACAGACAGACGAGCGACGAGGTGAGGTGAGATAAAATTGCGCCGGCATCCTGGATTCCACCACTCCGATTATGGATGATTACGGGTTCTGTATGCAAGGCTGGTTGATGTTGTAGCACAAATGGTCAAACTAAATCTTAGTTAGACCTAATTTAGAGTACCAGTGGTTAAATAAACTAGTATTAGTTGATTCAATTAACTTATACTGTGACCTAATTTTGTAAAAAAAAAAAAAAAAAAAAAAAAAAAAAAAACTTAACAATACGAATTCTTTGGTGGACTTACAAGAAAGCAAAAAACTATATTTATTTTTACATGCCTTTACTTTTATATTCAAAAATAAATAAACTCTAAAAAAATTAATTATCAAAAGAATATATAATATTATTGCTACTAAGAGAATGTAGAGTATCTTAATTTTTTTTATTCCTAAAAGTTTCATCATTAGTGCTTATTTTACTTGCATATAAAGAGGAGTTTTATAAACAAACAAAACAAACAAGAATTAATTTTTGACAAGTAGAATTTTTGAATTAATAAAGATTTTAAAAAAAAATGGCATGAAAGTTTTATGCACACATAAAAAGAATAATAAAAATATAATATAATATAACATTGTCTATGTTCAATTCTTTAGCACAGAAATTCGAGTTAAAAATTTCTATGTTAAATTTATTTCTGTCCATAATCAATCAATTACTATTTAAAATTTCTTAAAACAATAATAATGAACTAGAAATAAATATTGTAAGAATAGAAAAACATCACTTTAATTTATATAACAAGTATAAAAGGTTTTTAGATGTATAGAAGGCTTTAGTATATTATAGAAATTTTTAGAAGTAAATGTTCATCACAATAATTCATTCTAATTTTGAAGTAATAAATTTTATAAGAAATAAATTAAATCTATTCTTAAAAAATGAATAATACATGTGTCAAGTATTTCCCATTAGCTAATATTTTTTACTAGTAATTATATAAATTTCAAAACCTGAAATTAGTATTCAAAATCATAGTTCAACAACCATATATAGATTTGGTTTGTTTTGGTACTTAAGTAAGAGTTTTTAAATATGAACTTTTTACCAAACATATACATTAAAAAACTTCAATTAGTGATTTTAAATAATAAGAATCTAATATAAAATTAGGTTGTTGCTAATGTCACAATGATTTTTACTACTACCACCACAATTTGTTATCCACTACATATCACTTATATCCTTTGTCAATGCTTATATATATATATATATATATATATTTAATTTTAATATTTTTAAAGATTATGATATAGAAATATATATATATATATATATATATATATATATACACACACATATTTTAAAAAATTAATTAAAAATGATATTGATAAACTTTTTTTATTAATTTAATGAGTTTTTAATTAAAATTAATTTTACTTTCTAAATAATCTGAAAAAAAAAGATAAATATTGGAAATATTTAACAAGAGAAATTTTTGGATTAATAAAACTAAAAAAATGTGTTGAATGGGTGGCAAGTTAGGGAGGGAACAACAAAAATTCTAACAGCATTGGCAATACTCTAAAATGATAATCATACAAAGGTTTTGTTCTTAAATATAGTTTTAAAGTTCTTTCTCTTTTTTTCTTTTTTCTCTATTTTCTATTTTATTACAGCTTTTTTAATGTTCAAAAAAGAACTAATCAAAATTGTTACAAAAACATGTGTAGAAATTTAGATAATAAATTTGACTAAAAAACTTCTTGAAGAAGTTTTATCTAATAGCTTGTTTAATAAGTTTTTAAAGTCTTATTCTATAGCTCTTAGATTTTATAAATAATCTACATATAAAAAAATAAAAAATAAAACTTTTATTTATAAAAAATAACTTTTATTCATAAAAAAATATTTTAATAAATCTTATTAGAATTATAGTTTTTTTTTTTTTTTTTCATTTCAACATTATACTTTGATATTATGCTTTATTTTTAGTTTTACTTTTAAATTTTGAAATTAATCATAGATGATTTTATCTATGTTTAAAATATTAAAAAATATTTATAGTAATATAATAAGAATTAAAAATATAAAGATTAATTTTAAATTTTAATATATGTACTATTAGTACCTTAAAAGTTCTAGATAATCCAAATATTAATAAGTATAATTCCAATCTATTCATGTAACTGCAATTTAGTTTGTCATTACTTTCTGGAGATATTAAAATTATATAAGGTTAGAATTCAAATCCAAGAACTAATGAACATTTTGGATTATATAACAAAAAAAAGAAAGTCTATGGCATTATAATCAATATATATATATATATATATATACTTACTCCTAATGCCACAATCATTTTTGCTACTACTACCCACTCAATATATTTATTTAGGTTTTATTTTATTTCAATAAAAAATATATACATATATATATATATATATATATATATATTTGAATTTTTATCAAAAAAAGTCGTCTTATTAATAACATTTACAAAGAATGTAGATGACATGTCATGGATAAAAAGTTGTGATGGCAATAGCAAAAATTATAGTGGCATTAACAATACCTTTATGTATGTATGTATGTCAATATATATATATATATATATATATTAAGTAAAGTACATCAGGAGGTGGACCAATTATAGACTAACATCTTGATCTGAAAGCTTCAAACTAGCATCACGTAAAGTTTTAAAATTTATTTCTGACAACACTGTCCTAAAACTACCCTCCTCAACTTCCACGTTCCCAAGGAAAGGAACGGAGGAGCCAGTCTCATCAGGGGGGTCACCCTGCGTTTGCGAGGGTCGCCCTTCACCGTGGCCACCGCGTGGCGAAAGGTCCCTCCTCGCCGCGTCTCGCCGTTGCTTTGGACCACATCTTTGAAGGAATTCCGAGTCACGTCGATTTGCGGAAGGAGCCCCGCATTCGTGTGATGCAGTCCGACCGACGTGGAAGTCCAAGGTCCTCGTGTCACACACCTCTGCGCTTCGCACATCCATTTCCTTGATTCACTTCGGCCGCTTTCCTTCCGCAGATTTTGGTGCCAAGGGCGTACTCGACTTCCATAGCCAAATCCGTGGCCAGAATCCACTGTGTCTGTTTCTTAGTCTGTATGTGAGATCGAAGCAGAAACTTGTGCCACCGCCTGTAGACCAATTTCTTTCTTTCGGGTGTTCGGAGCTGCACTTCCGTAGAGACCGTTTCGTAGTGAAATTCGATCAAGATTTGATGTAAGTAGAATTGTCGTTGTCGTGGAGTTTTCTGATTGTTGAGGCGTTGCTTGCACTGCTTTCAGTAGGATACTGTACTACATTAGCGTAAGTGATGAGGTTGAGTTTTTGTAAGGGAGTCGGACCAATTTTTTTATCGTATTGCTGTAGTTTCGAATTACTCAACCTTATCAATGTTCATCGCCTTTCGTTTCGTCCCGGGAGCGGTTTTTTTTATTTATTTTATTTTATTTTTAAATGCGCTTCATTAGGAAGTGTTTCAATTTCTTTGTTTCATATAGTTTGTGATTGTTTGGACAGAGGTGAAGATATTCAATGTCCTGACAATCATTGTGATGATTCTGTTTATTTTTCTAGTATGAGGTGAATATCACAAGGTTTCTCACATACACTTTTTTTTTTGCTGACTGTGCGGCGTAGATTAGACGACTGTATCGTGATTACTCTCCTTCATCGGTGGCAACAAGGCAGTTTCATGGCAACCCTGCAGGCTTCAAACGCTACAGTCTCTTTGCAGGGACAGAATTCCGCTGGAGCAAAGCAGACTTCTACTGCCTTGTCTAGAAGTTCTTTGTTCGGAACCAAGCTACCTGTGTCACTTCTCGAATGTCCAACTTCTCCAAAACCATCATCCCTTATCTGCAACGCCGTGGTATGTGGTCATTTTTTCGGCAATCCGGCACTGCTTTAAAATAGGGAGATGAGTTTTTTGTTAGTAGTTTAACTGCATGAGTTATGTAGTTGAACTGGTAATTTGTTCTTTTCAGTATTAAGGTCGTATCATCAGAATGTTCATCTGCACCTTTCAATGTGCCAGAACTATAGTTCAAATCCTGCCAGATCTCTTTATAGATCTTCATGTGTATGAGACGGCTGACGTGACAGGTGTGGTGGTCTGATGCAACCAAAGAATTGTTACCCGACTGGCAGGTATTGTCATTAGTCTGTTCTGTCCAAAATGATTTTGCAGGAGTTTTTGGACTTGGATTTGCAATTTCTAGTGCGTTTTATTGATTCCGTTTGTTTGGGATCACCTCCATTTGTTTGCTTGCGAAAGCATAATAAGTATCGACAGCCACATTCGTTATTTTCTTCAGAAAGCTCATTTACGAAGAGTTGAAGCGCTTGAGGCTTTAGAGCGTGATTACGAAGCAGGGAAAGAGCCCTTCGTTGAGCAGCCTACTATTATCGAGGAGGTTTTCGCAATAGGGAAGGATGCGCTCTTTGGAGGCGGAATAGCGCAAGAGATGATTATTGGAAGAACTGCGATGTTGGGATTTTTCGCTGCTATGACTGTTGAAATTGAGTCAGGATGCACTGTATGGCAACAGCTGAGTGTCAGGTACAACATCTCTGTAGCAGTAAAGATTTCCTAGTAAGGCCATCGCTGGGAGTTGTACTTGTTTTGCTGTCTATCTGTGCTTTTGTTTCCCAAGTGTGGTATGTCAACTCCCACCGCAGTTAATCTAATCATCCTACTTCGAAAATTGTTTTGTGCAAATTTTGGGCATACGTTAGGTAACTATTCCCTGCATGACCAGAGCATGAAAGACATGATGTTCAAACGATAGTCGTGTGCAAAGACGTTCTTTTCCTAAATTGATCATGACTATGAAGTACTCTTTTGCCGCGATAGATGCACGAGTTCCACATTTGAAATGCATCACGAAGTCGCTGTTCCATTGAATTAACTTGTTCGTGTTGTATTATCTTTTAATAGGGGCGGAGCAGCTTTGATCATGGTATCACTTGCAGTAATTGCAGGCTCCCTTGCGCCTAAAGTGAACGAACTACTGAAGCGTGAATTGGAAATGCCTGTGAAACCATTTCGAGGTTTTACAGCAAATGCTGAACGATTGAATGGTCAAGCCGCGATGGTGGGGTTTGTTGCTTTGCTCGCCACTGAGTATGTTAAAGGTACTGCAGTATTTTAGGCGCCTCTTGCATTCCTAAACCTCGAGGCGATGGTTGCTTAATAATTGCTGGTTCTCGAAACAGTGAACAAGCAGATGGAGTCTTGAGCGGATGTTCCATCGTGTATATTGTTCGGAGAAAACTCTCCAGAGTCTCCATTGAGAAATCACCGAGTGAAAACATTTTCATAACATGTAGTATTGTACTTCATGTAAGTTTTGGATCTTGATTACGCTTTATATGACTATTTAGCTGTTAAATCACTCTACCAGGACAAGACGTATATTTATTTATTTATTTATATATTTATATTTATGTATAGAACACTATTTAGAATTCAGGTTCACTTTTAGTTTATCGCTTATATTGATTCCTTTAAGTTCCTGTTCTCATGATCTTCCACTTTAATAGTCCTAGGCTGGGTCACATTTGTTGCATTGCTTGCATTTTGCTTGAGCGATAGTATTTACACGTCTTTCTTCATTTTATTTCCTCCCTTACCTATGTGTCATTCATTTTCCAGTGACTTGTACAAACCTTACAAATTCAACAAATCTAGTTGTTGTATTATCTACAAATGCATAAGAAGCAACATTGGACTGCAAGTATTAATATGAAAATTATAGTCAGCATGATATTTACTGTACTATTAATCGCATTCTGTTTTGAATTTTGGCATTACTCTATAAATCCAAAAACAAAAGAAAATTAGCCCATCTTAAATGTGCAGTCAACTTTTGTACCCAGTACAAAATACATCATAGATCTGTACCAGTGGAACATTCCAATGTTCAATAGAAGCGTACAACTTCATGTGACATCCTATTCAGACAATCACACCGAAGTTTGTTTGTCTGCAACAGTGCGGTTATTTCCGACCTAAATTCTCCACATGCCACCCCATCTACGGTTGAGTTGACGAGGAACCGTGAACATTTTCTTACCATCAAGATGATAATGCTAATTCGATTATTCACATCCCGTATTTACCAGTAATTGTTAAAACGTTTAATCTTCTATCCTCCCTTACAAACGGCATCAAAACCAAAAGTGAAATCGTTATTGATCGTGGAACAAAGTATGACAAGAAATTTTTACATTCCATTGTGGCATTCAGGTTATCACAAGAGAACAGACCTAGAGTTTCAGTTATAAAAAGCATGAAAACCACTATCTCTACATCCCAGGAAGCTGTATCATCTCTATAAGCCAATAACGGCATATTGTTCATGATACACTAGAAGCAAAACTAAGGGCAAGCATGAAATGACACTACAATTCGTTTGACTAGCTACACTGGAGTCATCATGATGTATTTGCTGAGCTCAAGAACAACACCCTAAAATTTGCTACTGAGATCTAAACTGAAAAAGTTGCCAGATTTCAAGGACCAGCAAAAAGCAGGTCAAACCAGGAAGAAGCGTAGCCTGGTCCTGAATTTGATTACATTAATTGGTCTGCATAGCTTCTGTATGATATGCTTCTAATTCTTTGTCCAGATCTTCCACGGACTTCTCTACAGCAGGGGCCCCACTTCTACCTCCGCCTCTGCCTCCGCTTCTCCCTACACCTCTGCCTGCACCTCTGCCTACACCGCGTCCCCTGAATGCGCCTCTACCTCGGAATGAACCTGGACCCCGCACGAAAGGCACACTACAGAAACACCATAACAGTTCATTTGTAAGAGGCTAACCAAGACTCTGCCAGCACGTTAAAATACCAAGCAGGACCCGCATGTTAGAAGACCTCAGCAAATCAAATACAATTCTATATGAGAAGGGTCTCTGATGAATAAGAAGAAGAAAAATTGAAGAACTGGACAATACATTGTTACTCTACAACCTGAAGCGATTCAAACGCGAGTTTGGGATTCGGGCACTTAAATAAGCTAACGATTCACAGGAAAAGGAACAAGAAATAACTGGAGTTATTTGCAGGACTGATACCTTCTAAACACAAGATCGTTACGCAAAAGAGCCTTCTATAAACCTCATTGCAAGCAAAGAAATTAGAAAACTTGAATCAGCAAGAAGAAACGAAAAGACAAGAAAAGTAAATGAGTGAAAATGAAATTACAATGGTGAAGCAACAGCGCGTCCACGACCAGCAAATACTGTTAAGCCTCCATTGAATCGCGCAGGGCGTAAATTTGTGCCAATTATCTCAATCTTCATTGGCTTTCCATCCAGCTGGACATTATTATATCTCTTCATTGCACTGAGAGCATCGGGTTTCCTTATGAATACTACCTCCGCTGTTCCCTACAATTCCGCAACAAAGGCAACAGTGAAAATTAATAAAAACATCGACCTCGTATTGTACAGCTAAGACTAAGACGTCTCAAAAGGACTCACTTAAAGAAAACTCTGATGTAAAACTCGCGCTATTTACAGAGAAGGATAAAGAAATAAATAAATAGATAAATAATATTACCTTAGAACGACCGCTTCGATCGTAGTTAATAGAGCATCTCTTCAAATCACCAACTTCCGAAAACAATTCCTGAATGGGTTGAAATGAGACATAGAGAAATCAGTAAGGATACACGTGAAAACAGCCCCCCAATTTGGACTCAAGGATCTGATTTAAAGGTACAAAATCGGATGTGAAACAAAGATTGCAACTAGGTGTAAAATGATGACAAGGATAACACACGGAGAGCCAGTACGAACCTCGTACACATTATAGCAACCAGAAATAGTCGCTCGTTCTTATTACTAGATTTCGTTGCTTAACAATCATGCGTAGTGCAACCTTACCTTAATGTCATCGTTCGAGACTCCATAATCAAGGTTGGAGATGTACAATTTGGTCCCAGTCTCAATTCCTTTACCCATTCCCCTACCACCTGCCGGTAGAAAGTTGTCCGCGTACTGGAAAGCATAATCCGGGACGCGGCGCATTAACTGTTCACAGAGAAAACAAGTGATTGGCGGTTCGCACCACCCATGTAATCTATCAGCAAAAATACCCTCTCACGCAAACGCTTTCCAGAGCCACACATCACACCCCCGCCAACATGCACACACAGAGCATAAACACGGCATATGTACTACAAACGCTGCAGAAGAGGCGAGCCACATCCTACAAATTTTAGATATGGATACCTCCTCCCAGGACAAATGCGTCAAAGTAGAGAAGCTCAATATGAACGTGTCAAAGCGCTGATTGAATGGAAATCATCAAAGTAGGCCCCCAGCATTCCAGCCGAAGATGAACTACAGGCACACCACGTCCATAGGGTCTCCAACAGAATTCCACCCTTCTTTTTGACATCCAAAACACCAAACCCTGCTCCCTTGAAACAGTAAATGTCTTCCTTATGAAAGCTTGGCCCGTTGCTCATATCAAACTCAGACGATTTTATCACTCAAGATATTGAATCCTCAGGCCTCTTTGTGCCTGATAAGTATGCTTCTTTTTTTTTCTCTCTCTCTCTCTTTCTGTTTCCTTATCCCTACTGACTCTTTCAAGGTCTGCCATTGCCACTAAGTGAATAAGTGAATAAGGGGATGCCGCTTTGCTTGCCTTTGCGCTCGCGTAAGGCGTTGGCCGGGCGACTGCCCGGCCCACTTGTCTGCGGGCTGGCCCTGAGGTTTTGCCTCCGGGGTAGCCTACGGCAGCACCGGCGGCAGCAGTAGCTCCTCCTCGCCGAGACGCAGAACCTGCGCCCCGACCACCGCCCCTCCTACCGCGGGTGGAACTCTTGTTGGTCTTAATCAGGTCATCCAACGACATGTCCAACGCGCTCGTCATGATGCCTGTAGCCGAGAAAAACCTGTACTCCTCAAGATCCCGCTCCAACAACCCGTAAAACGCCCTCCGCGCCGAAACCCTAACCTCGACCGTCGTCGTGCAGTCGCCTCGATAGTCCTAAATGCCAACACGTACCACCTCAACACCTAAAACGGTCGCGAGCGGCTCCACGTTCGTATCCAAACTCAATCACAAGAAACCTCCTCAACAAAACCAGATAACCACCAAACCAAGTATCCTTTTCATCACCAGTCGCTAGCGTCGACCTCGTCCAAAACCTCTCAAAAAAGCCTGAAAATATGCAGAAAGCTTACTCCTGAGCGAAACGAAACTTGCAGATCACGGTCGATCGGGCGAAGGTCCAGGAACAGAAATCACAAGGCAGGAACGGCACAGAGAATAATAACAGCAGAGAGATGTCCAACTCCGGAAGCGAAATGGAGCCGAAGCGTGAGGAAGGAACGTGTCGTAAGGGCAACGCAAGGGAGTGCAAAGAAGATAGACAAAGGGGCTGTGGCAGCAAGAAGGGAAGGGAAAGTAGGAAAGGAAGGGCAGCCAGCGTGCGTGGGAGACGCAGGATGAGAAGTAGGACACGAGTGAGCGAGGCCACCACGCCGACAGGCAGGGGGCAGTGCAGTAGTGCGTCCGCCAGGAGCGCAGACTCGCTTTGGCGTCGAGACAAAGTCTTCTCATCCATCCTCGCGGATGAATCTCCCCTTCCGCCGCTCCCTCCATGTTCCGTCCTTCCTTCCTTCCTTGCCCTCCACGACTTCGTCCTCCTTCCGTCGCTTCCTCGACGTTCGTCCTCCCTCGTCCACCACCTCCTGCTCACACTTCCTCGTTCAAGTCTGAAGCAAGCAGAGTGTTCGACTTCAACTGATAATAAGAATATTATCTCTAATGGTGGTTTATAGTGGTATTTATAAATTACCTGCTGCTATTTTCTGAGTATGAAATTGATGTTTATGTGTGAATGAGTTGTACTATTTTTAGGGACACACGTATAAGGACCTGTAGAATTGTGTTAAGGGTCTTGACAGTTTGTAGTGATGAGTTGCAAAGAGAGTGCGTTTTGGCATCTTTAGGTGAAAGGAGACCATCATTCATGACTTTGTTGTGTTGAAGTGGATTGTTACGGACGTCATACTAATTGTTGTTTGTTTGAAAGGCACCATTTCAGAGAATATATTGCTGCCTTAATTAAGGGAAGGAAGGTAATGTACAAAAAGAATTGCGGCAGTTTTTGCATTACTTGTAATGTGAAACAACGAACACCGTGGAAGATTTCGTGGCAACATCGAGTTTGATGTTGGTTGTTGTGTTTCCAAGCCATCATTCTAAATTCACTTGCCAAACCTTGTGTTCCGAATCCTTTTCATCCCCTCAGCGAACTTCTATCCAAAGCAGCTTCGTGTCGCTCATATGGCCTGCCATGGCCTCGAGTTTTCCGCTGTGGTCGACTGGCTTCGGCAATAGTGACGCTCTAATTCGAGGCAAAGGCCAAGACTAGTGCAAACCAAGGTCACCGTTTTGTCCAAGGGACCATCCCACCACTGAGGGCTTCTGAAAAGCGATGAACCTGAATTTCCTTACGACTCTTTCTGCATGCGCCTCAAGTCCAACTGGATAATTCACTGGGTTCATAATGCGTTGACTGACCCTCTGATTCACTGATCGGAACATCAAAATGTGTGACTTAGCAATAGAGGAGCGAAACGGCTCTTGAGCAAAACGAATGCACGCAAAGTTGAATAAATATCTGATTTCTTGGAGGGTCTGCAAAGCGCCTCCTACGGTGAGGCAGCATCCCTTTGCTTTGCGATAAGGGATACCAAACTTGCTCCCACAGCCACAGCACTCAAACATGACTTGGGGCTATTTTTGGTATTATCGCGTCCATCGATCTGCATCAAACAATACCATAACCCTCAGCGTGAAGAAGAGCTACGATTTGCCGTCACAAAAATCATTTTCAGAAATCAAGATCTATGGGTGCTGTTGGCAGTTGCTTCTCATTTTACTAGAAGTTTAAGTTTATTCTGCAAGTGCCTACATAAGATTGTGCTTGTCAACCAGCAATGTAACTTCCAAGGATTTATTGTTTGTACCTCTGATCCAACGCAATCCAAGACAAAATGCTCGTCAAACGCTACACTGGCTTTTTCCACATTCAAGCCCCTTGACTCCAGTAGTTTCATGATGTCCCGTAACAGCCCTGGTCGTTTCTCACATTCAATGTGAATTTTTCAATCCTTTCTTTGGTGCTCATAACCCTCCACCTGATCATCG